TGATAACCATCAAGACGCCTGCCATTTGAAATAAATAAATGAATAATTTTAAAATTTTACATTTAGAAATCAAATATGCCATTTTAGCCTTATATAAAAGTATTTTTATAATCCTTCTTATGTATGCCTAAATTTTGATGAACATATACACAATATCGACATGTATGTGGCGGAAACGGGCTTCGGGAAGAGGGAAAGCGGAGAGCGGGATGCGGGAATGTTTTTGGACTTTGCTGGCCTGACAAGTGGGGCAATGTTTGGTCCAATGACGGACGACCTGTCGGATGTTCTTCCAAACAAAACTATCGGTGATCAACTTCGTTGTGGAACGAATGCTCGGATGAGACAGACCGTGGAAATGGTCAAAAATCTTCCGGCGATATGCTTGCGGGACAAATGGTCTCGGCTTGCCGGTTGAAACGTCGCAATGGATCTGTGTATCGGAGTCTGGTAGAGGTAAACATTCGAAGTGTATCTAAGGGTTGGATTTGATTTCGGTGAAATCTGGATCCGACTTTTGTTCGGTGGCTAGGACCTGCAAATCGAGAGAGGGCACCCCTATTTGGTTCAACTCCATGCGAGACATCGCTTCGGCAACCACGTTACTCGCGCCGTCAATATAGCGGATATCATTTGAGAATTGCACGATTAAATCCGAATGACGAGTTTCCCTGGGGGAGTGGCGATCTGAGTTGGCCTGAAATGCATAAATATCGTAAACTGACGGCCTTCCAGTATATGGCGGAAGTGTTTGACTGCTAGGTAGATGGCGAGTAACTCCCTACGGGTCTCAGGAGCGGAAAGCTTCTTGGAGAAGAAGGAGAGTGGCTGGATTTCACCTCTAATCACCTGTTGCAGAACTGCTCCGACGGCCACTTGAGATGCATCTGTCTTCAAAACGATTCGTGTCTCGCTAGAAGTGTCGAGGTGATTTAGGGTAGTTGCCCTGGAGAACAGTTGTTTCACTTCCGTGAACGCGGACCAAGCCTCTGGTGTCGCCCGGAAGTGCTTAGGGTTGCCTTTCGGCAAATCCGTGAGAGGCTGGAGTACTTGGGCGCAGTTGGGAATGAATCTTCCGTAATAATTCACAATCCCCAAGAAACGACGGAGACTCTTCACTGACTGGGGCATTGGGTAATCCAGGATGGATTATGTCTTCTCAGGTAAGGGAGCGATTCTGCGCGTATTGATGAGGTGGTCTAGGAATTCAATTTCGTCCTGGCCGAACTTACTCTTCTCGGGGTTCACCGTGATCCCTTACTCCTGTAGACGTTCGAACACCTGGCGCAGATGTTGCCTGTGCTCCTCTGTGTTGGAACTGGTGATGAGCACGTCGTCAATATAGACGTAAACGGAATCTAACCCAAGGAAGACTCGATCCATTAATCGTTGGAAAGACTGTGCGGCATTGCCTAAACCGAAAGGCATACGTAAGTATTCGAACAGGCCGAATGGGGTAATTATAGCCGTCTTCGCGATATCTTCTGGGGCCACTGGAATCTGATGATAGGCTCGAACTAGATCGAGCTTGGAGAAATTGACTTTTGCGTACAGTTGTAAGGAAAAATCGTGGATGTGGGGTATGGGGTACATGTCTGGCAGTGTAATGCGGTTGAGTGCCCGGTAGTCTCCACATGGCCTCCAATCACCGTTTTTTTTCGCGATCATTTGCAATGGGGAAGCCCATGGACTGTCTGAAGGTCTAACGTTTCCCAAAGTAACCATGTGCTCAAATTCTTGCTCTGCCGCCCGTAGTTTATCGGGATGTAGGCGTCGGGCTCTAGCGAAAACAGGTTGTCCTTTTGTGGTAATATGATGCTAGACACTATGCTTGGTCCCCTGAAAGATGGGGAGAAATTCTGATGGAATGATCGTGTAGCAATTATCTACCGGGAGG